TCTAAATTCCATTGTATTACCACTGTGCACACATGGTACTTTTTAGTTAAGGATATGTTAAATTGCAATAAGGGGGTGTCGGTCCAAGCCCTGTGCGCATCTATATTGCACCACAATAAACAGCTGCAGTGTAAAAAATAGGAAGAAACGGATAGAGCGCGGATCCGCTCTTTCATGACGCTGCACTTCGGCCCCTGTCGTCGTCATTACCTCTAAAGTGCGGATCTCCTGCTGTGTGAGATCGTTGGACGCCGCGCATTTGGTCCGGAGCCCTTGCAAACTGGAGATGGAGATGTCGATCATGTTCTGGATCAGTTCGCACTGGTGTAGCGCGGCCATCTCTGCGCCACCGCTGCTGTCCCTCTGTTCATCACTCTCCTCCACCATCATCAGCCCCACTCTAACACCATCCATCCCACTGCATCGGGCTCGTTGTGGATGGAGAGATGAGTGCAGCTACAAATAACAATGCGATCCGCATGCACTACTACAGACGCATGCCATCAGACTGTCCGAACAGGACAATAGAGGAGCTCTATACTGGGATCCACAGGGGAGATGTGCTTCAAGGTAATCCCAAATCCAAGTGCGCCTTTTGAAGCCCGTCGTGCGAGATGCGCGTTCTGCTGTGAGACTCTGCTGCTCACTGACTGTCAGCTGTGGGAAACATCGGACGCCGCGGTGCGCGCTGGGAAATGAAGTCCGTGCGCACATGTCTGTAGGCCAATGCACGATAGAACGTTAGAACGATAGAACGATAGATAGATAGATGGATGGATGGATGGATGGATGGATTAGATAGATAGATAGATAGATAGATAGATAGATAGATAGATAGATAGATAGATAGATAGATAGATAGATAGATAGATAGATAGATAGATAGATAGATAGATAGATAGATAGATATTACAATAGGCCTATTTAAAATAATTAATATATGCCTACATTTTAATTATAGGCCTATAAATATATTTTGGTTTCATTTATATTTATTTTAAATTTTACCATGTGTTTTTGCTTTGCAAACTCTGATACTGAACAGTTAAAAAAAACATTCATATTATGAATAATATAATAAGATCAGGATTAGAAGTGAAGGAAAGATGCTTCAGCCAATTATTGTTTTTCCATTCACAAATCAAATTTTAGGTTTTTGACAGATATTACGTTTGTTTTGTGTAGTATTTTTTTTCTTATTTATCGCAAATTTTTTGTAAACATAACCAAAGATTAGTTTAATTATGTTTTCGGTGCAATGATAATCAATAAATGGAAACATTTCATATTATTATTGTGATTTCATTATAACCCTGTTCTCCAAAACACATGCAGAGAGGACACTGAAGAAATCAGGGTCTTTGAAAACTCATAAAATGTTATTTTGAGTAATTTATTTGACTGAAACTATTGCAAACCAATGATGAACTGCAAAATAATCCAGCTAATGTTACTCTTTCCATAAAACGTGCTGAAACGTCAGATATTTTTAAAGCCAAAAAATGTTCCCCATCTGAACCTTCCAGAAAGTCCTCCTTACGAAACAGCAGGATTAAAAGGAGGATATTTCATATTTTGGCAAATCTGGGCACATGGAGACATCTGAACATTAGAAGGCCTTTTCTCCTCAGCAGACCCATCTGTGAACCATGAGACTTACACCAAAAAAGCCACGTTTGTTCTAATCGAACTTAATTACTGTTTAGGAAAAACAAAAGTTATATTAAAGAGATTTTATTTGTGGTTTTTCTTTCCTTAAGGCGTCCTCGGCTCAAACAGAGGGCCGTTCACATCTTGAAAATTTACCCTTTTCGCCTCGTACTAAACTGTGCTTCTCCGTATGAACACGAGCTTGTTTAATCACATTTATTAAAACATTTTTTTTTTAGGTTGTGTTGGAAAGATTTCTCATCTCAATGAGGGTGTGATGTTCCCTCACATCAAACGCTCAATCTGACTGCTGAGTCACTCTCCAAACCTCACCTCCTCTTCCATCTGTCCTCCATCTCTCTCTCTCTCTCTCTCCTTCCATCTGTCCTCCATCTCTCCATCTGGGTGCCGCATAAAACTCTACGTCCTCCCCAACACACATCTCAGTGACAGAACATTATTCAAAGTGTCCGCTGAGGTCCGGTTTGCAAGGACGGATTGTGTGAGTTAATGTCCAAACAATGAGAAAGTCCTCACAATTGTAAATATATGAGAAGTTGAGTAAAATAAGGCCTCAAATTATACACCATGAGTGTAAAGTATTGAAAATGAGACATCATAATATGACCAGATATGTCATTCTTTTCTTTCACAAATCGGGACAATATAGTATTGATTTTATCTATATCAATTTCACATTTGCAGGTTTCAGTTATTCATCTGACATGTGAAAAGCACACACACGCAAGTAATATGACTAAGGAGTCAGAGCAGTACACATTTTAAATATCGGCCTTTAATAAATTCTGTCATCATTTACTCAAACCGGTATGACTTTCTATCTTCTATGAAACAGAAAAGATGATAATTTGAAGAATATGTGTTTTTGGTCATACAATGCAGTGTTGCTTTAATATTATTTATACTTTTCATTTTTCATTTTTAGGTTTTAATGTGCTTTTGTCATTTTTATTAGTTTAAAAAACGTTTATTAATTTTTATATCAGTTTTAATTTTAGTTGCCTCAGTCAGTTACCTGCCAAGACAAAGTTTAAGATGTCCTTTGTTTTTGTTTTTTTACAACACCGATACGATCACCAAACAACATTGATTGGACCTCATATGAATCAATATTGATTTTCATTGTACAGGCCAAACAAACAAACAAAAAAAACATGTTGTATGATATATTATTCCTGCAGAAGAATAAAGTCGTGCAGGTTTGAAACGACGTGAGAGTGAGTAAATGATGACAGAATTTTCATTTTTGGATAAACTATGCCTTTATCTAGAGTAATAACGTCACACAGCTAAAGCAGACGTTCACGTAGATCAAAATAACAAATAAAATGTGTCTAAATGTCAAACTTGAATTTCTCTCACCAGTTAGAGTGTGTTAGAGGTGTACATCTGCTCCATGATGACCACAGGAACCCCATGCAGACGAAGAATCGTTTTTACCGGAACCTCTTCCAAAGCTAGCATCGCAAGTTTAGCGTTTAGCTAATCTTATTGCATTCTTAAAATTCTACGAATAACATTTTTAAAAAACTTCTAAACTAGGACTAAGTCATTTATGTGAGGAAGTTTCAGAGATCTAAGGCAAAAAAAGAAAAACTAACAAAAGTACTACAGACAAAGTGCAGCTTCCACCTGGCGACGGTGTCCTCAGATACCGACACTCTATTGGTCAGACTGAGGAATCCCTGCCTAGGAGACAGCAGATTAAATTGGATTGTGGGGGATCTGATGGCAGAGATCATCCGTGACACAGGCTTTCAATAAGTACCTGACTGACACGTCTTTTCAGTCAGACTTCAGGATGTTTGTGTCTGTGTGTGTGCCTTTGTTCTATTTTTGTTTTGTGAGATCAAATTTTAGATTATTTTAGAGACCTATAAAAAGGCCACCAGTTGCAGGATCTGGGAGTGGTGCATTATGGGGCTTTGAGGTAGACAGGCATGGCTATAAATAAATCCCAATCTGCAGACACCAGACTATTGAGCAGAAACACTCGGACACGTGAGCACCCACCGCTAGCTAGATCTAGGCTGTGTCTAGAAACAAAATAATGGTCATCTCTCACAGGAATGACAGATTGCGACAGAAAAATAAAAATCAGTTTAGAACAGTAGAACTGGTGTATAGCTCCATCTACTGGACAGTTACAGCAATTTCCACAGCATAAGCTTGTCTGTCATAATCATATAGGCTACAACATGATCTAGGTCAAATAGATGGTGCAATAAAAAGAAAGTGTTGCACCGAGTTCACCAGTATACCAATATTAATTTAAACTAAATTAGCTGCATACATTTCTATCAACAACTTTAGGCTTATATTTAATCTATGCATATGTAAATACATTTACTAGTGTGTTGATTTTTACATCTGTGTCTTCTTTTGTGTTCAACAGAACATACAGGTTTGGAACAACTTGTAACTGATAGAATTTTAATTTTTAAGTTAACTATCCCTTTAAATCATATCCTTCCTCAAAGTTGAACAAGTTATAATATACGAAGCTATTAAATAGCCTTGCTAGATAAATATTTATTATTCTGTAAGACAGTTTTAGTAATGATGTAAAATAAGTATTTGATGTCCCCAGAGGATGTATGTGAAGTTTTAGCTCAAAATACCCCACAGATATAATTTTATATAGCATGTTAAAATGGTTACTTTTGAGGGTGAGCAAAAACGCACTGTTCTTGTGTCCCTTTAAATGCAAATGAGCTGCTGCTCCCGACACAGAGGGCGGAGCTTCAAGAACTCTTGTGTGATTGCAGCTTCTTCTTGAGTCAGACAAGGATGGAGAGACTCAAGAAGAAGTGACAACATGTAGACAACATTTCTGAATGGTTATTGATGAATTTATGTATCTTAGTCGTTGATTAGCATATTCCGTCATGATAATCTATAAATATAGTTCCCGGGGGCGGGGTTTATGTAAATTTATTGGGTTATTATTTAAGGGTTAGTGACGTCACTGGTAGGAATGTCACGTAGTACCAGCCGTTTTTGTAGTCCTTAAAAAGTGATTTCTTTAAAAGAAAATATCTCCCTTTACAGATGTTGTTTTTATGCTCAAACAGCAACATTACACACTAACTAAATGTGAAATCATAATCAACCACCTCTAATGTTTTTAAACATTGGGTTAAAGAAGTGTTTTGGCGTCCCCTACCGGTTCTTACAAGAAATCAAATTCAGCCGTAACAAACTAAATAAATGTTTTAAAATAAAACTATTTTACATCCTAAATATTTGACTCCTAAGTAAAATTGTGCATATTAAAAAGCTTAAGCTGAAACTTTTAATGTTTAATAATAAAAACAAAAATGGACGTGTTGATTTCATAATGTAATTTATTTAATAACAAACATAATGATTATTTGAAAATCAATAGCAATTTACAGTGAGCTAACAGCCCTAAACTTATGAAAGTTATTACAATTTAGTTTTTAATATTTACTATCCCACAATCCCACAACCAGATTTTACTTCACACACTAAGAATAAAATCATGAATGTTCATTTCAGGAATGAATGGTGAAATGAAGTCTTGAAGCATGATTTTAGATAGTGAGCGGGTTGAAAACATATCAACATTGCAACTAAATCTGAGAACTAATTTTTAATCAATCACCCAGTTATCAAAGTAATATCTTATCTATCAAATAAGATCATGAGAAATGGAAAGAGGATTATCTCTATAACATGGCATGGGCTCCATGCCATTTCAATTCTCCTGAGATAAACACAGATTTTCTTATCAAGCTGACTAATGGGGTTTTTGTGCTTGTGGATGTTCTGACTCCCGAGTCCCAGCACAGCATGTTCTGATCTGCTACACCGCATGCCGGTCACAAACTGTTGAAGCAGAATATTACAAACAAAAGAACTACGATGATTTCATGGCTCAGGTTTAATTAAGCATTGCAGGAAACTAATGAGTAAAATCTTGATCTTCATGATGCTTTAGCTTTTAAATGCAGAGAAAATTGGCTGCTCCGCCCATTATCCATCTGTAAAAGATTATACAAAAACATGTCAATTAATACATATACACCGTTGTAATCGAAATAATTCAAACCCAATTGCAAATCAGGTTTATTTGCAAAATGTACAGAGATTCAGCTCTTTGCAATGAACAAATCAAACAAAAGTAATTGAAATTGCACAACATATGTCTTAAATTAAACTTTTAAAGGGATACTTCGCCTCTGGAAAGATTAGATTATTATTTATATTGTGTAGTGATAATCAAAATGTGTCACTTTCTGAGAATTTCAAAAGGGGTAAAGGAATAAAACATTTTATTATACAGCTGTAAGGTGGACATAAATATATTTTACATCTTATTATATACGACGTAAATACATTTAATACCAATTATCTAAATCTTTGTTGATGTTTAGCCTGTACGTGTGCACTTACCATGACATCACTTCCTTTGATTCCTCCCTTTCCTCTCTTCCTGAAAGCCTCTTGAGTTGGTTGTTGTCCTCAGCTTTCAAACACAGTCATACACATACTCACTTTACAAATATTATGCAGCGCCACTACATTGAGATAAAGAGAATATTTACCCAAGAGCGGCGCCTCTATTTCATCCAGGAGATTGATGGTGGAGTTTGCAGAGCCCAGACTGAGAGCAAGTCAAGGAACAAACACACTACACGTTTAATAACAATGACATATAGCTAATTGAAAACTAGCACTTTTAATTTCTAAATCATATTTAGACACACACGTTAGCATGAAGCTAATAGCTAGACTAAGAAAAATCCAGAAATACAAATGTAAGCAACTCTGCCTTTACACAACATACATAGATGCTAACTTCACGCAGCGACTGTCTGGGCTGGACGTATGAGGATATGACTGATGTTTGGGTAGAGCTCGCTTTTTGGACTTCTTCCTTCTGGTCTTCTCCGAGAATGACCTCGCAATTTCAAAAAGCTTCTTCCTTGTGGCTGTAGGTTATAATACAGTGGTCAGAATGGGATGAGAGCTTAAGAAATTTGCTAAGTTTTACGCTTTAGGTCTGCATTCTCTTACATTTGCCCATGTGCTTGAGTTTCTCCAGGAATAAGGCATCATCAGAAACAGACGAACAGGCCTCCTCAGACCCCGAGCCACAATTATCACCTACATCAAGAGTTAGACATGAACATGTCAACATTTGTTCGTAAAGAAGGTTGAGTAAATGACAGAATTTTGAAGTTATTTCTTGATTTTTACAAAAAAGTACAGTAGAAAAAACATCCAAACAAACAAAAAAAATCTCTTTAGCCACGCCCACTCCCATGAAGCAACGGCGAATGACGTAATCGAGTCGATCTCACGAAATACTTTTTTCAATAAAAATATATTGAAAATATATTAGTAAAATATTATTATATTTTAGTAAATATATATTATAGTAAAATATATTGTTTATATAAAGAGGGGCTGTTAAACGATTAATCGCGATTAATCGCATCCAAAATAAAAGTTTGTGTTTACATAATATATGTGGGTGCACTGTGTATAATTATTTTCTATATATAAATATATAAATATACACACATGCTTGTGTATATTTAAGAAATATTTTCATGGATATACTGTTTATAGATTTATATATAATTTATATTATATATAAATATCAATATTTTAATCGTTTGACAGCCCTAATATATATATATATATATATATATATATACACACACACACACACACATACATTTGTACATGAAAAGTTTTATATTTCTCCATCGTTGTTTTTTTGTTTTTTTTCGATTCGGTTATGCTGTTCGCAATGCTTCATGGGATTGTAGTTCTTTCCCTCACTAAAGCCGTTATGGACACAGTCTTGTACGTTTTGTATTTTTTTTTAGAATTTCTACTTTTTCATCTCTTAGCTGATTGGATTGGTTTAAGTCTTTAACATGACTTTTTTTTTTAAATGTCAATGGGGAAAAATACTTCTGGAACCAGCGCTGCTGAAAAAGGGGGCGGGAACTGTCTATGAAGCCCCTCCTTCCAAATAACTGCAAACTGATCTGATAGGTTGACTGTGTTGAATTGATGTGTGTTGGTTGGTCAACCATTTCAAGTGAGTTTTGGAAATGTCATGCGCACGTTTTAACACACTGCTAATGCAACTCAACCAGGCCATGACCCTTTTGCGTACGCCTTGGGCAGGAATTACTTAAATGAGGAATATTGTGATGAAAACTCAACTCTATAATCCAGGCATTTCAGGAGTGACTAAATTTGGAGTGACTTTGTAACTTTACAAACTAAAGAAAGTTGAAAATGCAAAAAAGCATAATAGGTCCTTCCTTAACTCTAACTTCATTATTAGAGAAATAAAATGCTACAAAGTGGAGAATATGACCCATGTAGGCCATTATCTGAGTGTTGTGATTTATGTGGCGGCACAAACAGGTTCTGATGAAGCTTCCTGTGGGTGTGTGTGTGGCAGAGCAGCTCGCGCCCTGAGGCTGATGGATGAAGATGAAGGGAATCTACCTTCGGTGGAGTTCTCTGTGCAAGCGGATGAATGACCACACTGTGTTTTCTCGCACCTCTGACGATCTAAAACACAGCAGGCAACAGAGGTCACTGAGGGCAGGTGAACATCAGCCGCTCCAGAGTGAGTGGAGACCGTGGACTGAACAACACAACACTGCACACTGTGTGTGTTACGAATGAAAGCTGTTCACACACCCAAAATGCATTTTAGCACAATGACAGGAGCGATGGCCTACACATATGATGATGGAAAACAGTGCAAATCTTTTTGCAATTAGAAGGGTATAATGTAGTACTTGATTAAATGTATTTTAATTTTATTTTTATGGCGCTTTTCATATTATAAATCATTACAAAACGCAGGAAAGGTGAGGAAGAAATCTTGAGAGGAAGCAAGACTTTGAGGGAAATAATGGTAAAGATTGCAAAACAGATGCTTGACTGCAGTGTTGGTTTATGAATTCTTTGCTATGAATGAAAGGTTTTCCTCACATGGAGAAATCCAAACATTATTTCATCCTAAGTGAAGCATGTTTGAAAAATGAGTGTTTGAGAATGTGTTTTTTTCTGATGTTTCTGACCAAGTTACAATACAGCTTTTGGGTGGAAAAATATCAGAAAAATGGCAACTGGAATCCCTAATCACTAACCCCACCCCTAATCCTACCCATCTCCGCCCCTGATCCCTAACTCCACCCCTAATCCCACCTATCTCCGCCCCTGATCCCTAACCCCACCCCTAATCCCACCTATCTCCGCCCCTAATCCCTAACCCCACCCATCTCCGCCCCTGATCCTTAACCACACCCCTAATCCCACCTATCTCCGCCCATGATCCCTAACTCCACCCCTAATCCCACCCATCTCCGCCCCTGATCCATAACCCCACCCCTAATCCCACCCATCTCCACCCCTGATCCATAACCCCACCCCTAATCCTACCCATCTCCACCCCTGATCACTAACCCCACCCCTAATCCTATCCATCTCCACCCCTGATCCCTAACTCCACCCCTAATCCCACCTATCTCCGCCCCTGATCCATAACCCCACCCCTAATCCCACCTATCTCCACCCCTGATCCCTAACCCCATCCCTAATCCCACCCATCTCCACCCCTGATCCATAACCCCACCCCTAACCCTACCTATCTCCACCCCATAGATCTGGATCCAACTCCGCCCCCTGGATCTCGTGTACTGCAATGAGGCGCTACTGTCAAAATCGCACGAAAGCTTTATGAACAATATTTGAGAGAAATAAGCCTTTTGTGTACTTAGAAAAAGTCTTAAATCTTTGAGTTCAGCTCATGAGTAATGGGGGCAAAAACAAAAGTGTTGCATTTCAAATTTTGTTGTTTGTATAATATATATGTGTGTGTGTGTGTGTGTGTGTGTATACCTATCTCCAGAGCTATGAGGAAGTCTCTGTTACGCTGTAGCTCTTTCATGAACTCCTGATTCTGCAGGAAAAGGGCGATTCTCTCGTCGTCCAAGTACTGTTTCAACTTCCTGTCCTGTTCACATGACCAAACGCTCCCAGACAGAGCACTGCTGGACGAGAGCTGCGTCAGGGATGACAGGGAGGAAGAAGAGGAGGAGGAAGGCTGAGACAAGCTGCTCTGAGAACGCTGTGGGGGGAGGAATCACCAAAGACATTTTTTTACAGAAACGGCTTAAAAAATCAACCATGAGATGTTTGATTTGCTTTGTCTGGACTTAAACTAGTGAAATTAGACATTAACGGAGGTCTTAGAATCAAGATGTAATGCTTGTTTTTGTAAACTCATGATATTTGTGTATTTTTTTTTTTTTAAAATGCTACAAATGTATTATAGGTACTGTATATTGTCACTGTATATAGACCATTTTTGCAAGATGTAAACAACACTGGTCCAGAAGCACTTCCTGTTTCAGTTTTTCAACGCTACATAAAAGCTGGGATAAAATACAACCAACAGAACATATGAATATGAATCAAAAAGTTAAACAAACATCTTTAAGGTGAAATAAAGAAAACCGTTACAAACTGAAACAGGAAGTGTTTCTGGACCAGTGTTGTTTACATCTTGCAAAATGGTCTATAACTCTGGTGAATTTGGATAGAGGGTTGTTGAATTTGTCTTTGAATCTGGATCTAAACGCATGATATTTAGCCTTGATTTGTATGCGAGTCATTTGTAAATCTACCTGAATAGTCTCTGACTGCTGAGGCAGAATCCGCAGGAAGTCATCGGGAAGGTTGCCTAGTAACGGTGGATTCCAGTTCCTGTATCTTCCGACCTGCTGATTCCTGGGTGGGTAATCATCAAACCTGGAAAAATGATGAGGACAAAATAAATAGAAAAAAAGCAAATTCTTCTGAAACACACACCTGAAATTAGAAAGGCCTGATGGGGTCCTCAGCTTATGATTTAAACACACCTTGTGCTTGTGAGTGCAATAAGAAGATATAATATTACAGCACATAAATTACAACTGGAAACACATTTACCAAATAAATCCCTTGATGTGTACAAAAAAATGTCATGTGATTGGTCTAACAGTCGCATTAGTCGTGTGCACAAAATTTATTTTAGAAATCTGGACTCAGAAGAAGAAGAAAGGCTTAAATGGAAGATCAGCAAAACCAACATAAGCGACAAAGTGAACACACACACAACGTCTCTCACAGAGTAGCCCTCAAACCGTATTCACTTTATAGCCCTTAATCCTGTAATTGTGGACCTATGTGGGCACAGAGGACTCAGGTGTGATCCTAATGTTATATCACTGTCTTCGATAAAGTTTTGTCTATCCATTTATGGTGTTTTATTTTATTTTGGGGGTATTTTTGAATTTATTTACTTCAAAAAGTACCATATTTTCTATGTAAATTGTGCTTTTTAACTACATTAAAATATCATTCCAATAAGTTCTTAGAGCTAAAACCTAAAGATGAAGTGACTTTGCTGTCACCTGGTGTCTTATTTTGGCTTATTTTAGAATGCTCTAGAAACAACAATTTCTATGGGTGCCCATTTTTGACCCAAATACAAGATTAAGAAATTTTAACATTGTAGAATTGAGTCAAAAAAATTGTGTGTGTTCAGGAGGCAAACTTAGGAAAAGTAGCCAAGTCTTGTACCGCTTTTTAAAAAATAAATTAAAACTATTTTGCCCACATTTGTCCAGAATACGGTTTTAGGGTTAAAGTCTATTAAACTCTTATTAGTAGTAATTTGCTGTTCTTGCCTTGGTGGAGGAGTGGATGGAACATCTGCGGGATGTTTTCTGTCATAGATGTGCATGTCATAGGAGGGCGGAGCGTAGACAGGTGGAGGCTCCTCATCTGAGCTGTCCGGCTCCAGCGTTCTCCCCAGGATCTGCAGGTTAGGAATGGAAGGAAAGATTCTTTTGTGCATCAAGATCGAAAAATGCCAAACAGATCAAGTTTCTAGACCAACCTCTGGAGGAATGCTGTCCTCAGAATCCGAGCTGTCGTCCGTGGCTTGGCTATCCAGGCTCATCTGCAGGAGCTGGTCAATGGTGGAGTCCACGGCACCTTGGTTAGCCCTCAAGACACACTCGATAACCTCATGCTCCATGCTGGGGAACATGGTCTTAAAGTCATCCATAGCCTGGCTGAACTCCAGACGCCGGACCTGACGTGGAGGCCTCCTGTTGTTGAGCTCTCCCGAGGCAGCGTCGCCTCCTCGTGTGCCGCTGCCATGGTTACGGTTCGCGTTACTCCGCCGGAAAAGGCTGGTCATCATTTACAGAACCTCCCTTCCCATCCACTGCAGTGGCTCCACCCCTTGAGCTATGCACCGCCTCCAGCCACGCCCCTTATCCACTCATGATGCCCCTGGAGGTGAGCTTCAGTATATAGAGGAGCACCATTGGAGAAACTGGTCTTCGGCGGCTGATAGCTGACACTCAACCACATCCAGGACTGGCTGGGCTTCCCAGAATGCCTTGCTCTCACTCTCTCAGTCCCCCTCAAGTCAAAGGACGAACAGCGGCCCACTCCTGAACAGCAAAATGTTAACCACTCATATTTTTATTCGCATTAAGATTTATTTATATAAATGCACAAGGGATAGTTTATATACTGTAACTGAACATCATTTTATTAATATTTTTGTTTTCACTAGATTATTATAAATAGTGAGCGGTTATTTTAGAAATATATATTGCTATTTCAATTTGGAACACAGCTTGGTTAGATGTATAACTTTCATTTTATAGTAAAAATATTTTGTAAAATATGAAAAAAAAAAATATATTAATAAATTATATTTGATTTACAGTAAATCATAACTTCCATAACTTTTTCATACTTTAATTTTTTGAAGTGCGTTCACTTCAGTAATAATCTGCTGATTGCCAAACTTGGTGTATATATTATTTAAGTTTGTATAGTGCATATTAATGTCAATTATCAAAAAGGGGGGTGACGGGTAAAAATGGGGTTTTATTTTTATATTTTCATTAAAAATATATTTCTATATACTTAATTGAGTTTCATTTTAGTCATTTCAGAACATTTTAATTCTTTGTTTCACATTTTATTTAAGCTTTATTTCAATTCAACACATAGTTTTAGTTAACAAAAGCAACACAGAATTTCCTACATGTACATATATTTGACCTTTTTATAGATTCTACAGTGTTTAATGGTTTTAAAATCACAGTGCAAGAGGGATTGACAAACATTCAACACTTGAAATATCGTCTTAAAATTCATATGGCTGATTCTGAAATATTTTAATTAGTGTAAGAAAATGTATTATTTTAGATCACACAAATACAGTGTGCACACGCATGAGCAGCATTCAGCACACATATACACGGTTCCCATTGGGCATTAAATGGATCAGGATCATTAACAAACAAGGCTTCCAAAAAAGACATGATAGGTTTTAAACTCTTAAAGGGCACATTTTGCCCTCTCTCAATGCATGGCCAGACATACATCATCATATATATGTGCGGTGTGCTTCACATGCCCGAATATGCATCTATTTCCTACCTACTGTCTGTCTGTCTGCAGAGGAGATGCAGGCTCACACCAAAAGATCCACCAGCCAGCGAGATAAACCTTTAGCTTCCATCACAGGCTGCGGGCTCCTCCATAAAATCCATCATCGGAGAGGTTCGGATATCCCTCGCTCCCATTTTCATCGCTCCACATTAATCTGCACCTAAAACCAAACCGGCAGCGCTAAATATAGCCTCAGACTCTGGCACAGCGAGCGCAGGAACAGTAGCAGCTTAGTGATGTGTCTCTGAAGAAGGGAGGCTGTGCCCTTGTGAATAACATACAGCAGCGGGCTGACGTCATCCATAGTTAAACAGGGGTCTGCGTGACCCACTGAGACGGAGGAATGCCGGATCTGATTGATAACAGTGAAACAGATCTCAGCACGGCAGATGTGTCATGATAACGGGGGCAATCATCTTTCTATAACAACACAGGAACGCTTGCTATTTAAAATTACGGCCGTCGACATGATCAGAGCCTGCTTGGTATCCATGGCAACTCTCACGACTATCAATCATCTCAGAGTAAGTGATTTGTTAAAGAAGCTCAGAATAAATGCTCAAAATGGCCGAACGCATCAATCAATCTTGCAGTTAGATACAAAATCAATCAACTGAAACCGAATTGAATCAGATAAAGGTCAAACCTGGGGTCAAGTCGTCATTCACAGAGGACCTATTATGCTTTTTTACATTTTCAACTTTGTTTAGTGTGTAACGCCTCGATTAGAGTCTTATTCCGGGAACGTACACGTCAGAAAAAAGCGGCGGGGCCTGGATGAGTTGTGTTAGTAGTGTGTTTAAATTTGCGGTTATGGTTGTGCCTGTTCACACTGGGACGAATTTCACAAGCCAACGTTTAACGCTTCGTGACTAAAAAAAGGGCGCAAATGTGAGTGTGCACACCGACGCAAAAAGCGTCATTTAAAAAAAAAAAAAAAAAACGCCTCGGGTTCGTTTTTTTTTTGCTTAGACGCGCCGCGTCAAAAAATATCCGACCAATCAGATTGCTGCTTTTGCTTCTGAAGTTACAGTAAAACACAACTAGGGGGCGGTCAAACACAAAACGGTCTTACCGAGAACACATACGTAACGGCGAAGAAGGTATACGCCACCGTCTACACTGCCGGAAGACATTAAGCGCCATCTACTGTCAGGGAATGAATTTGCATGTTCACTCGGCTCATCGTCAGCAAAAATTGCTTGGGTGTAAACACAAAAAAACGATAATAATTAATCTTTGCTGATAATTTACTCACCCCCATGTCATCCAAGATGTCAATGTCTTTCTTTTTTCAGTCAAAAAGAAATGAAGGTTTTTGATGAAAACATTCCAGGATTTTTCTCCATATAATGGACTTCAATGGGAACCAAACGGTTCAAGGTCCAAAAGACAGTTTCAGTGCAAACTGCAAACTGTTCAAAGGGCTTTAAACGATTCCAGACGATGAATAAGGGTCTTATCAAGCGAAACGATCGCTCATTTAATAAATAAATAATAAAGTTTAAGTTTTATAAGCTCAAATGCTCGCCTTGCTCTGCATGATCGTGACTCTCCTGTTCGAACTCGTTCATCAAAATGAACTAATCTTTTTCTGAGTCAATTTGTTCATTTCGTTCGTTGAATGAACCAAATGACTTGGAAAAAGATTTGTTCATTTATAGCCTGTAATATAAAATAGCCTGTATTTGACAGAAATTCCAGACTTGTCAGCAAACTGATGACTTAGATATGAAGAGTTCAGATGCAAAAGCCTCTAAATGCCATTTGAAATTTTCTTCTTTAATGATGATTTTTATCAAGCTTGTATATTTAAGTTCAGTGATTTCACTTAAATGGCAATGATAATTACCTATTAATTGTTATTTAAGTGAAATTACTGAACTTAAATATACAAGTTTGATAAAACATCATCATTAAAGAAGAAAATTTCAAATGGCATTTAGAGGCTTTTGCATCTGAACTCTTCATATACTGTAGTGTCCGGGGAATATTTACGGTTGTCAATGAAAAAGAATTTTGGCTTTAATAAGATTTTCCTAATAAATAGGAAATAATAAACCTGGTGTCCTCCATGATTACTGTTCTTGAATGCGATGAGCTCGTAAATCACAACTTCAGAAGTGGGAAGTAGGTCATTTTCAATCATAATGAATCTGACCCACCAATTTGACTAAAAAAAAATTATTATTCATAAGACTTGGGAAGACTTTTATAATAATTGTGTGGTGCTTTTGAAGCCAAAAAACAAAACAAAAAAACAATTAATTATTCAACATGTCACATTGTGTATTTATGAAAGAAAATCTGTCACACATGTTCAACATGAGTGTGAAAAAAAAAACCAATATCAGATTTTTCATTTTTGGATGAAGTACTCCATTAAAGGATGAACGAACCGTCCTTTTGGCAGAGGACATAACTGTGAAGCTGGCCCGGTCTTTAATAACAAGCTACAAACAAAGTTTCAATGAAATTTACAAAGTCGTCCCTGCCAAAATGATCTCCCTTACATGTGTTATGCCAAATTCAATGCTTTTCTGGCTGATTCAGCATCCAAGAGGAGAGAAATCCAAGCGGACAGATTGTGGTGTCTGACAAGAAGAGCTGTTATCACCACAGGATTCGTCTGAGGGTTAGTGCTTATGTCAGAACACACTCCTGCTGTCTGTGTGTAAAAGTAGCAGCATGTTCACTGGCACCTATGCTATCATTAGCCCTAATTGGCCCAAACCTTATTGGCCTCAATTCTAGCAGTCGCTAACACAATTTGTTTGAATTAATTTTATTGGAACTGAATGCAACATTAATCTATTGCAGATTTTATTGCACAGATGCATGCATTTCCTCCAAATATTAATAGAAGAGGGCTTTTGCAAAGTTTAGCCCAAAGAAAAGGGGAACATTTGCATAGTGTGCACTGAACCAAAAGCACGAGCAGGGCTTTGACACGGTCCATGAGAAGGAGAAAAGAGCAGAAGAGAGGACAGGAATAGTGCAGAGGAGAGGTGATTTGAAAGTCCACTTTAACAATGTCATTTAGAAGCAATCACGATGCACGTCACCTCAAATAAAAACAGCCGAGTTTATAAACTAAGCCCTAATTTAATGAGACTAAATCATGACTAAAAAGGCATATGGTCAGACATTTGGAAGTAAACGGATCCCTTCCCAGAATCCTTTGGGAGGCCAAACATCAGTCTGCTATCAGCTATGACACCATAAGCGATATTACTGTGGAAAATGTCAGCGTATCACATATTGTATGTATTGGTATTAACCTAACGTGATTTCACCACGTGAAATTGTTGTTGATCCAGGAACAGCATTCCAATCAACTATTCCGATTTGAGGAATAGTTTTTAATGAGGGAAGTCAAGTTTATCACAACAACAACAAGTGTTAGATGCTTCTATCTCCACCTATCACTTTCCTAAATGATAAATTATGGGTAGGGATTAGCTTTTAGTAAACAAAAACACACAATGTTGGAGGGCTAAATGCTTCATCATCATATAATCAAATTTTTTTTTTGGAATAACATTTTGAAAGATCAAAATTCTGCCCCTGTATGATTTCAATTGTTAGCTAGCCTACATCTAGACATAAGTGGACCAGAGACACAGGTGAGTTTTCACAAACTCCATCACATTAGAGTATTAACATAACAGCACCGTGATTTAAGAGACCTGCTGCACTATATGGTGTTATTATTAGAAGAACATAACCGCAGGGCAGATTCATTCTTGAGGCCTGCCCCTGCCGCTGCCTGAATAGAAATTCAACTGAACAGCGCTTCAGAAGTAAATGTATCTAAATAAAGGCATAATCAAATCATCAGGCAGAGACACGAGTGGTACAGAATGAGGATGAGATCTTACCAGCAGAAGCGATAGTCTCTGATCACATTATTCGACGCTCCATTCCTCCATGTTCGATACCGATAACGGCAGACGGTGTCGTTCCCAGAGCGTCAGATGGCGGCTCTTTATCGGCTCTTGAGCGCTTGAGCTGTGGGCAGATTATCCTCCTCTCACCGCGCTCAAGAGCATTTAGTGGATACAGGTGAGTAAAGCAACTCAGCATTACCAAAGGTGAAATCCACTGTTGAGTTTGTTACAAATATTATATTAATACTTAAATTATGCTGCTCGATTTCTTAAATATTAACACTAAATCTCTCTCTCTCTCTCTCTCTCTCTCTCTCTCTCTCTCTCTCTCTCTCTCTCTCTCTCTCTCTCTCTATATATATATATATATATATATATTAAAGATTTTTTAGAAAAAAATTAATTAATATCTACGTTTTTCAGCAAGGATAAATTAAACATAAAAGTGCTATTTTATGAACGTTCTGTTCATTAAAGAATAATATCAGGTTCTCACAAAAATATTAGCATATTGATATTATTAGAATACAGATAGCACAACTGTTTTCAACATTATAAATTATAATAAGAAACGATTCTTGAGAAGCAAATCAGTAGCTTAGATTGATTTGTGAAGGATCATGTGACGCTGACTGGAGTAATATGAATAAATTATATTTTAATATTATTAAATAGCCTATATTTCTTTTAAACACACACACACACACACACACATATATATATACACATACACACATATATCTTTAGATATAAATAATATTTGATAGCTTTCATTTATCACAATATATATATATATATATATATATAAGAAGTTTTTCCACCAATTAATAAGTCGTTATCTAACGATTACAGACACCAAGCAACGTGTTTATTGGCTATTTTATGACGAACGCGGCAATTTCCAAATGTTTACACACAAAACCCCAGTCTTATTGACTTATATAGGTGCTGGATGTTGCTGAAATATCCAAATGAGATGTTTTCATGAATATGAATGAACGAGAAGAAATGCTCTTCAAACACTAATACAGCTGCCTGTACTTACAGACACGGGCAGATGGTGAACAGCGGCGCCCCGAGAAAAAGCGCAATTGTTCTTTCAATGGGTCTCATTGTCTTTTATCCCCGTTGTGAGGCGACAGTGAGGGGTGAAACAAAAGACCTTGAACCCGAAGCACCTGCTCATGGACACGAGATTAAACCCAGGGCTGATTGTATTGGGATCCCAGGGGCGCGTCACGCCTGATCAAATGATGCGGCAAGAGTGAGGCCGTGAACGCGCACCAATAGAGCCAATGCACATGGAAATGAGTCCTAACGACCAATTTGAGATTCCGCGAAGAAAAAAAGCCAGCATGTAAGATTAAGGAACTAGTGTGGGGGGAGGGGGCATTTCAACAGGGCCAGATGGAGAGCCATGAATTAGAGATGAACGATTTTTTTTTTTTTGTGGTGAAGATCATGGATTGAGAAAACTCTTTCCTGTGTGTGATGTGCAATGCTTGCTTGTTGAAAATGTTGAATTGACACATTATCAAGTGTTCAGCCAAATATCTGGCCCACTGCCTGAGCCGAGAGTGACTGCTGGTCTTCTGCCTTCCCATTGGCTGAACTCAGAAGTCAGAACTCCTCGTACCTTTACAGAGATTTTAGATTTCCAGCAAAACATCTTACTCATGTAATCAGAAAGTGGTTTAATACATTGTTTAAAACTCTACTGTTCGAACTCGTTCATCAAAATGAACAAATCTTTTCCCGAGTCAATTCGTTCATTTCGTTCGTTGAATGAACCAAATGACACGAAAAAAGATTTGTGCATTTTGATGCAGGAGAGTCACGAACGCGCATCACAGAACAGAGCAAGGCGACCATTTGTGCTTATAAAACTTGAGCGATCGTATCGCTTGATAAGACCCTTATTCATCTTCTGGAATCGTTTAAAGCCCTTTGAACAGTTTGCAGTTTGTACTGAAACTCTCATTCAGACCTTGAACAGTTTGGACCCCATTGAAGTCCATTATATGGAGAAAAATCCTGGAATGTTTTCATCAAAAACCTTAATTTCTTTTCGACTGAAGAAAGAAAGACATGGACATCTTGGATGACATGGGGGTGAGTAAATTATCAGCAAAAGTTTTTTTTTTTTAAAAAGTGAACTACTCCTTTAAGTACATGGCATCGGTTGTCTGTGTGTAACTGCCTAGTGTATTGTTCCTGTCAAATAAACAAAATAAAACAAGGTACATTTGCTGTTCTCTTTTTCATTAATCCAATTGTTGATGGAATATATTTCTATATATGCTCATTATATTTCATTATGTTTGAAAAACAAAATATTTTGGTCATAAAACTAAAATAAAACCAAAACAAAACAAGGTACATATGTGTGAAGAGGCCAAAATGTTCATATGTGGTATAGACAAAAATCTGGGTGGATTCGTTTTCAATTTTAGGTACTACATTTCAAAATTACTGACAATAAATGCTGGTAGATCTCTCTTAAATCCACACACAGCAATCATGTTTTACAGTTTTTTATTTAGACAACCCAAATAAAAAGGCACATAAAACATTGCGCATGTTTACATAATTATTTCTGACAAACTTACATTAAAAAAAATGTAGGAATGTTTTTCTTTCTGCTACTCAGAAAGCCTAGCCTTCGTATATATACAAAATTACCATTGTTAATGTACTAATACAAAAGTCTTATAAAAGGTTATTTAGCTTTTCTTCGCTCACGTCTATCTGTACTCTAAGATCCTCTGAGCTAAACACTTCTGTACAAACATATACATTCAACCGCTTTCACAGGGGCTCCAGTTCATCGAAACAACATTAGACTCGATTCAAATATCTTCACTTCATTGGATTTTATAATTGGTTTGAATTTGGCAAATAAAAGGCAATTATAATGCATCTGCTGAAGAAATGCATAAACGCTCATTCTGACTCTCCCCCACAAACTAAACTATGGAAACATGCTTTTGTTTGTTCTAGTGTGACGGGAGAATCAAACACACACACACGGATCAGGGATTCATTGTGTCTGATCAGGATAAAGCATCCCCTTCCTGAGACTCAGTGCTGGGGTGGACGGCATCCATTCAGACACTCCAGATCATCACATCACAGGCTGTGGCGGGAAAACCACCCACAAAAAAATTGCATACAAGTCGAATAATTAGTGTTTTCACTACAGCAGTCTCTTCTCTCTGGCATCTGCTCCATCCACAGGAAGTGGCCGACATAATGTACCTTAATATCCATCACATTGGTGGCCGATCCGTGCGGTGAGTGGCAGCTCGCTCTTCCTACTTCTCAACACAAAATGATAAAACTCTTCAGTTCCAACAGATCGGCATGTAACCACACATTTCCAGAAGCTGTCTGTAAACATTCAGACTAAAGACGTGCTTTTATGGTAAATTGTGCTTCTGGGCTTTAGCTACAGAGTCCAAAAAAGATTCAATATTAAATCACTGGAAGCAAATAAGATGAGCAGGATGGTGCCGCTGTGGAAATAACAGGTAAAATAACTACCCAAAAAAAAAAAAAATATATATATATATATATATATATGCACAGAGGGTATGCACGTGATGTCACCGTCGGCCTACAGTTCCTCACAGTGAGTGGCAAAAATACTGAGCGGCTGTATTTGTTATCAGCGTGAATGCAGCGAAAAACAAACACAACACATATAAAGTGGGAAAGAGCTTTGCGATTGACTGTACGATTAGATTTGACAAAAAAATCAGAGGTATATTTTTACAGACTGCAATAGAAAGAGGAGCAAATGGATCGCTGCAGTTCACAGAAACAACTGGACTCCAGTCAGCCAAAGGTGGATTTGCAGTTATCATTTTGTGTCAATATGCTTAATTTAGCTGTAAAACAATACCCATATATTGTGCATTGTTATATATATATATATATATATATATACACAACAACTCATCAATTAAATTTTTATCATTGCATATTCTGCATTATTGGATGTTTTTTTAATAAACACTGACCAAAAAAAAAAAAAAAAAAAAAAAAAAACTATAAAATTTTAGGGTTGGACGATAGGATGATATATATAGGCTATATATATAACACTGATATAAGTGATCACCCGGATTTAGACCTATATTGTATTTATATAAAGCGTTCACAGGAAAATTTGCTTTAGCCTATGTTTAGCCGAAATCAGGAAAACATAAACAACACGATTCCTGGCTGCATGTCAAAATCCATGGATCACTGGATCTTTAGTAAGTTGTAAGGTACACTATATTGAGTCCAACATTTAGTTTAAATTGATCAAATTAATAATAAAACTTTATTTTATATAGTGCCTTTAAAAGTAGTATCTCAAAGCTCAAATTGTTCGTTTTAGACCCATTTTCCCCTATTAAATCCGGTCCTAATGAATTAATTAATTAATTAAATCCAGTCACGCAGCAGATCTTTTGCCACTCAGTCAGGCTTAGGGGGGTTGTTCCGGCGGGAAAGTGACGTCAATGCATTCCCTCTATATAAGAAAAAAAAAATTAACAAAATATAAACTAAAACATAAAAAAACATTAAATAAAAAGATCAAACTAATGAATAAAAAAAAAAAGCTACATAAAACCTAAACCATACAAAATACACAGAAAACAAACAATAAAACCTAAAATAAAGCTAAATTAAATCAAATTAAACTATATTTACAAACAAACATGAATAATTCCAAATCAGTTTCCTAGAATTATTCATGTTCATTTCCTATTTCTAGAACAGGGATCATATAAAAATACACAAAAAAACGATGTTCTAATGAAATCAGGCAACAAAAGTCCAAATTAAAAGGTGTCAATGCGTGACTCCAACCTCTAGATGGCGCTGTTTCGAATGAGCTGGTCATCTACAGTTCAAAAACCCTGTCCCAAATGGCGTACTTGACTCCTCAGATCCACACTTTGTTGAAGTAATGCTCCACAGACTTAGCAGTACGCTTGGCGTACAAAGGGGGCGCTCTCGAGCACCTTTCTCACCCATAAAACGACACCATATGGTCCATGGACTTCACGGATGCGTGCAAACGAAACCACCGCAATTTTGGACAGGGCCATATTATCATGATATTCATATTTAGATAATACTGGGATAAGCTTTCAGTGCAAGACTCTCTTTCCTTTCTCCAAACGTTTTCTTTTGTATGCAAAAGCTAAAAATGGCGACGTAAACAATAAGAAAAGGAAGCTGCCCTCCCCTCAGACAAACTAAAAAGTCGTAAACCGTGACCGGCCGAACACTATTAATAAAAGAAAACAAAAACTTTACCTCTTCAAAGCTGCTACACGGACATCGAAATAATACAAAAAAAAATTAAAAATCCCTCCCAATGGAAGCTAAAGTCACTTTCTAATGAATTTTCTTAAATACTGATCACGCCGACATCTCCGTCACTCTCTGCTTATAAAAAAAAGTGTTCGAAATGCACATCGAGTATTGCATTCGTCCTTAAAAACGTCCGTCGGGGTTTGAAGTGCTCATGCCGAGCTGCTCACCTCGCGCGCAAAATGCAAACGTATCCAAAGGCCAAGGAGAGAGTTGGATCGACCCGTGCTGCTTCATGCCACACAGAAAGGCCGCTTCTACCAGGGAGAAGACGGCAAGACTTGGGACAGGAAGGACATGCTGTCCATTGATCTCATGGCGATGTTGAGCGGGCCGCCGATGTTCATGGACATGGGTGTCGTGATGGCCACCGGGTGGGCGATGTTCATGGGCGCTGTGGCCGGGATGTTGACGGAGGCGATGTTCACCGGGCCGGTGATGGTCACCGGGTGCTGCAGGCTGACGGGAGACGTGATGTTGACCGTGTTGGTGGAGATGTTCATCTGGGCTGCTATGGTCACGGGGTTGCTGGTGTGGCCACGGTTCATTGCAGTGGTGATGGGGGACGAGACCGAGACCGGTGTGGAGGAGGCAGAGTTGCAGACGTCAGTGTTGTCTGTAAAGCACAGAGAAAGAGAAGCGTTTAACACGTGTGTTCAGGGTTCGTGTGTATTCCGCTCCCAAACTCTCTGGGTGTCTAGACTGGGAACCTGTAGACATATGTGAGCATCGAAATTTGTTTGGTAACAGCGGAGACGGAAGAGAGCAAACTGTTACTGTGTGTGTATCTGCTTTTCCACCTTTTTTGTTTCGTTTCATTTTTACCTTTTCGGAGCCCTGAGTGGTTCCACTGCCAGTCTCCTATTTAGAAATAGACAGAGGGTTATGATGGGCAGGCAGCTGAATGATGCATTATGGGAATTTTAGCAACGCAGGGCTGCAGTATTTATGCTCCGTGTGAATTCACACATGAATATCATTTTTAAAAAGGAGATATTTGTTCATTATCGTCAAGCAGATTCAAGCCCTTTTGTCTAATTCAACAGAAACAATTTAATGTTGCAGATTCAATACAGGTTAAACTCTATTGACAGCATGTTGACATTAAGCACAGAAAAAAACCCTCATACATCAGTTTGCAAAAATTCTGCAAAGAAAACCTTCAAAATGACCTGTTCCACAGATGTTCATTGCATTACAAACAATTATTTTTTATTTTTTATTACCATAATATAATAAATATATAACAAATTATATTATATAAATATATATATATTTTTTTTAACTGTGACAAAATACAAAAATATTTGTAAATGTAGGTGTAATAATTATAAAAATTAATATATGAAGAGTTCAGATGCAAAAGCCTCTAAGTGCCATTTGAAATTTTCTTCTAGAATGATCATTTTTATCAAGCTTGTATATTTAAGTTCAGTAATTTCACTTACATTGCAATGAGGATTACCTATTAATTGTCATTTAAGTGAAATTACTGAACTTGAATATATAAGCTGTATTAAAATGATCATTTTAGAAGAAAATTTCAAATGGCACTTAGAGGCTTTTGCATCTGAACTCTTTATATATATATTTATATATATAATTTTGAAAATGATATGAGGTGAGAGAAAAAGTATAATTAAGAAAAAGTATAAAAGAGAAAATAGTATAATTAGGTGTAATATAATTAATATAATAAAATTAAATTATATAATATTATCAATATGTATTGGAGGCAAAAGAATAAATGATGAATATACCCATTATATTAATATTACCAAAAACATATTATAAAAATGAATATATATATATATATATATATATATATATGTATATATATATATATAATTTGCAAATAATTTGAGGTGAGAGAAAACTTAAAATAGTATAACTATACTTTTTAATATAATAAAAATACAAAATAATATTCTGTGGTAATCAAAGGCATAGTCACAGATGCTGTCAACAAAATGTAGCCGTTTGTTTTGAAACCTGTACAAATCGTTTTGTCTATTAAAATATCCAATAAACTTTCTACAAAAAAAAAAATAAATAAATAAAATATATATATATATATATATATATATATATATATATATATATACACAAGAATCACAGTCAACAAAAAATAAAACAAAACTAAAACTAAACAAAAACTAAACTACATGACAGAGATGGATCATGGAATGGGGATCAGTTTGTTAATTCATGAACAATATCCAAGCAAACATAACGGCACCTATCACTAAATAGCACAACACTTCTGAGACAAACTGAGACCACAAGTATTTCACTCCTTAAATCCTAATTTAAGTAAATAATGACAGTCCAGATTTCCAGAGTACTGCTGACTGCTTCACATTCTTGCGTTAGATCTAGATGAGACCTTTTCCTGACCCTGCTGTCCTCAGAAAGGATCCGGTTCTGTCAGAGCAGTCTCTGCCTAAAGCAAAGCACTGGCCTCCTCCACTGATATGCTTGACTAATTTAATCTCTGAACATACAAATCAAATACCATGACCAATGAAATATGATGGAATGCACAACCAAAGTTCAAAAAACTTCACAAGGGAAAGAAATCCCAGCAGCCATGTTCAAGTATCATTCCAGTACTCAAAAACAATTGCTTTAAATGCTCACTCTCCCATGATTCTTTGTGCTTCACAAGACGACCATTTTCCACCAACCTGAACCATTCCTCCGTCTCAGAAAGAGCTCTGGGCTTAAACCAAAACTCAAAAGTCAAAGGACAGGGATGGGACCAAGCGAAAACGTTTTCAGAATAACCCGTGATATCATGAAAACACTGATTTAAATATACTGTGGATGTTAAAATATGTTGTAAATGGAGTGTCGGACTAAAAAACTATTGAAACACGTTGTCATTCTGGCCAGTTCTCAGTTTTAAAGTCACCTCTGATAAACTAGTGCACTTGAGTATGTGTAAGAGAGTTTGGGAGGGACATCGAAGAGAAGACAGGATGGATCAGAGTATTAGTAGAAGGATGTTGGTGCTAGAGCTACATGAGTCAACGTCGCCGGCTGATTGGCTGTTGGGGCAACCAATCAGCTGCACTTACCTTTGTTACAGGCATTGTTAAAGTTGGTCTGGCCGTGTGTTTTTAAGTGGCTGGTGATGTAGGCAGCGCTCAGCATCTTTCCGCACACGTTGCACGTGACTTTACCCTCGTGCCGAATCATATGCGACCGAAGTCTGTCTTTGGTGGCAAAGGCTGATGTACAGGCCTGTTATGGACACAAGACATGAAGTTTTCCTTGAATCACTTAATACTAAATCAACATTGACGTGTGTGACGTTTTTACTTCAAGAAGTCCTCGTTATTAACCCTTTTAGCACTAAAGGCGCATTTTTAGATGCATAAATGGGATGAATGGGTTCTGGTTCTTACCGTTACTTGGCATTTGAAAGGTCTCTCTGAGGAGTGAACATGCTTTACGTGGCAGCTGAGATGGTCAGGCCTGAGAGGAGAGGGAAAAATTAAAAACATGGTAGTGTCTGTAACAAAGCCACTTGATTTCTGGTACCAACTGTGTCTGTGAACTTCAGAAAAAGCTTTTTTTTTTTGCCTTTTAGGTGCTGTACTTTGCCTCTGAGAGACTTTTGAGACCGTTTTGACGAGTTTGTCTCTAAGTTGCAGATTCATCAGATGCCGTGACCTAGAAAACCTAATGCAGATGTGGCTACACCAGCCCTACTGAACACAAACTGATGTTGCTTTCACACTAGAGATTTTGGTTTAGTTTGATTGCCTTGACCAAAGTTTAGCTCCAGGAGCTGGATCGGAGACCTCTGGCCTATAATATTCGGTTTTTTGATTCATGTAAAAGCATCGAGGTGCACAGCAATGAATTGTGCTCGAGTCCATACAGGATTCGGTTCATGTGAACAGCAATGCAACTTGCGATTGTTGTGAATGCAAGCTGAATATTAACATATTTTGTGGGGATACACTACAGCTCCAAAAAGGATGCATTAAAGGATAATGGAACCCTGAAACACTTTTTTTGTGATTATAATTTTTTATTTGAAATTATTATAACAAATTAAACAGCTAGAATAACCTAACCCTAAAACAAAAACAAAAAAAACAACCTAAAACACTTTTTTTTAACCCTGAAACCGTGTTCCGGACAAATGTGGGCAAAATACTTGATTTATTTTTAAAAAATACTTTCCGGTACAAGACTTGGCTACTTTTCCTAAGTTTGCCTCATAAACACACAATTTTTTTTGACTCAATTCTACAATGTTAAAACTCCTTAATCTTGTATTTGGGTCGAAAATGGGCACCCATAGAAATGAATGGGGAAAAACTGTAATTTAGAGCATTCTAAAATAAGCCAAAATAAGACACCAGGTGACAGCAAAGTCACTTCATCTTTAGGTTTTAGCTCTAAGAACTTATTGGAATGATATTTTAATGTAGTTAAAAAAAATAAAACATAAAAATAAGCATAATTTACATAGAAAATATGGTACTTTTTGAAGTAAATAAATTCAAAAATACCCCAAAAATAAATAAAAACACCATAAATGGATAGACAAAACTTTATCAAAGACAGTGATATAACATTAGGATCACACCTGAGTCCTCTGTGCCCACATTTCTCCACAATTACAGGATTAAGGGCTATAAAGAGAATACGGTTTGAGGGCTACGATGTTGACATATGTACAGGCTCCAAATCAACAAAAACAATGATAGCTCTCATGTTTATTATACTGGGAAAAGTTTTTTTTTTTCTAAGCCATTTCGGTATTCCAGTTTAAAAAGCAAAGTTGAACCAACGTCATGAAAAGCGAGGTATGCTTTAATTTGGAGTGGTGATTGAATGCCGTAGATAGAGACTACATGTCTACATTTCTATTCTAAGAATTAACTCTTAATTCAATCATTGTTCTGTATTATGCATGAGATCGTATTACAGCGGTGAATACGATAGCGTTCAGCTTTGCATTTGGATGCGTTGTAAGTGTGTTTCCTCAGAACAGTAACACAAAAGTGTTGTTTGCATTCTCCCGATGATGCGGTCAGAGCAGGGGTTTGACTACCAACACATGGAAAATATGACAATATTTAATAATAACAGATGTATGAGAGAGCTTGTATCTGAGATACTGCAAGAAACACAGCAATGAGTTTAAATAATCAAAACAAGACAATTCAAACAATATGAAAACTAAAAATTATAATAGTATATCTCAATGACAATACAATAACACTGTTTCTGATGTTTAGATTTAAAGTTTTGCTACCTTAGTCACAACTTACATTTATATTACACAATTTTTTTTTTGCACTCGCAATTTAGGAACAAAATCAGCAGTCTAAAATGGGCATATGGAGGAGAACAATTGAATTCAGGTTTACAAAACACACTAAATATGAACGACCTGCCAGAGGAGTCTGGGACATTGTGTTTCAGGTGTTTTTCTCAGGAACAGCCCGAGCTCTTTTCATCTCGGCGCTTTGACTTGTGTCAGTGCGTGATTAATAATCCGAGGATTAATTTCAGGGATAGTGAGGCCTCTCTGATGCTTTTCTGGATATTCAGAGACATTATAGACGAGACTCCTAAAGCAGCCGTGTGTCTGTGGCCCCTGAGTGACTCAAAGGAAAGCCCAGCACTGATCCTCTAAGACAGAACAAACAGGAGGGAATAACAGAGGAATAAGAGCACCCCCCCCTACTCCTGTTCACGCAGACCCTCGGCATGCTGGGCCCTACAAAGGAAGCCAGTCAGATCCATTCACAACAACTATAAATCAGCCAGCGGCAGCCAATAGGAACGAGATGAAATTAACATCATCAGAACAGCAGATGGTGGGTTCAGCTCGAGCCTTGAACACATATTTCAACAGACAGTATTAAATGCACTGACATCATCAGAATCCACACACAGCAGCATTTTATGCGGTATGGAAATGAGTTATTACTACTTTTAACATCTGCTATTAATGTATATATTTCAAAAAAAAAAAAAAAAAAAAAAACACCGGGTTCTTTTTTAAAATCAACCTTAAATCATATTTTTTAAAAACTACTGTTTCATTACTGAACTACTAAATCTACCATGTAAAAGTATGATTTTTAGTCTCTTTTTAGCTTGTAGTCTGATTCAAATACGGGTTGAATTTATCCAATGAAAATTAAAAAACAACAACATTTCTAAGAAAGTTATAGTGACTAAATCAAATGAGTCGGTCAAAAACACTCGTGTCTCAAACCAAACCATCGCTTAAATCTGCATTTTAAAATGTACTTTATTCCTGAATCCTAATATGCTGATTTAATGAAAACAGTCTAATACCCCTTGCTGAAAACAGCGATGCATGTAGCCCTCAAACCGTATTCACTTTATAGCCCTTAATCCTGTAATTGTGGACAAATGTGGGCACAGAGGACTCAGGTGTGATCCTAATGTTATATCACTGTCTTCGATAAAGTTTTGTCTATCCATTTATGGTGTTTTTTTATTTTGGGGGTATTTTTGACTTTATTTACTTCAAAAAGTACCATATTTTCTATGTAAATTATGCTTATTTTTATGTTTTATTTTTTTAACTACATTAAAATATCATTCCAATAAGTTCTTAGAGCTAAAACCTAAAGATGAAGTGACTTTGCTGTCACCTGGTGTCTTATTTTGGCTTATTTTAGAATGCTCTAAATTACAGTTTTCCTCATTCATTTCTATGGGTGCCCAAGATTATGGAGGGTTTTTTTTTCACCCACTTAACATTGTAAAATTGAGGCAAAAAAAAAAAAATGTGTGTGTTCAGGAGGCAAGCTTAGGAAAAGTAGCCAAGTCTTGTACCGGAAAGTATTTTTTTTAAAAACAAATCAAAACTATTTTACCCACATTTGTCCAAAATACGGTTTTACGGTTAAGAATTATTTGATGATTAGAAAGTGCAAAAGAACGACATTTATTTGAATTAGAAATATATTGTAACATTATAAATGTCTTTTGATTAGTTTAATGCATCCTGGCTGAATAAAAAAAAAAAAAAATTATCAAAAAGGGAGGGGCTTCATTAAACAACCAGAAATGTTCAGTGGAATCTGAACCAGAATCATTAAATTCCTTTTAATTCTGAACTTCTAAAATCAAACACACTGATTATTATTAAATCGAAGCCAATTTCCATGAAACGCAAAAGCCCACATACCTTGAGAAGCCCTTTCCGCACACTGAACAGACGTAGGGTTTGTGGACGCCCCCGTCGTGCGAGCGCACGTGGTACGTCATGCGATCTTTCCTCTTAAAGCGCTGCTGGCATATAGGACACTCGAACGGTTTTTCGTCCGAGTGCGACAGCTTGTGACGGTTCAGATGGTAAACGTCCCGGAAGGCTTTCCCGCACATTTCACAGCCGTGGTTCTTTTTTACGGGCTTGGGTGGCTTTTTGGGAGCACTGTGCTGGGTCACGTTGGACATGGACGTGGAGGACATGATAGTGGAAGCGGAGGACGTGGAAGTGGTCGGCGTGGAGAGGATGCCGGCGACGGTCGAGATGTAGGAAGGGTCGCCCGTGGTCTCGCGGGGCATGGTGGAGATGAGCGAGACCATGGTGGGCGCCCCCTGCGCCGTCTTCTTGGGTCTGGACACCATTTTGATGCCGGTGTGGCAGGACTCGTGGCGGCGAAGGTGGTAGCTGTCACGAAAGGCCTTGTTGCAGTAGCCGCAGATGAACGGCGTCTTGCTCTTGTGCTCTTTCTTGACCACGACCATCGGACCGCCCCCTCCAGCGCTCCCACCCCCTCCTCCCCCGGTCCCGCTGGCTACATTGTCCTTGAGGAGCTCGGCTGCGCTGACAGGGGGCTTGTGGTCCAGCGGGATGGGCATCACAGGCTTCTGGTCCTGTGGCTCAGAGTTCAGCAGTGGCAGCAGGCTGTTTGGCGCCACCTGGTGCTGGTGGTGTAGGGCTTCATTAGCCTGCTGTAGAGAGAAAACCGGACCGGGGCAGGAGGTTAAAGGCTGTGACGTACTGGCAACAGTTTTTAATTACAGCATTGGCAGAGAACAATTGACCTATGGCTAGGGTTGGGTATCGTTTGAATTTGAACGATTCTGATTCCGATTCCTTGTTTCGATTCCGGTTCCTAACGATTCTCGATTCCGATTCTTTTAAGAGGCAGGGTCAAAAAAGTTTAGCTAACCAACGGTCTTTCTGAAGGAAATACTCCTTCTGTCACAAATTTATTTTTAGAAAAGTGAAGCCACAGTTTGGACCGCCGATGTAAGCTACTCATGTTCGACTCGCGCGGTTATCCCAACACTTCCGCTAGACGCTTCTTCGTTGGTGTTGTTCAGCGGTTTCTTCTTCCGGACGGCGGACTGTGAATATCGAAAGTAGGAATCGAAATTTTAACTTTTGAACGATTCCAGGAAAAATCGTCGATTCTTCTCGAAAAATTCTCGATACCCAACCCTACCTATGGCTAAGCCACGCCCCCTCCACTTACTCGGACACACGGTCAACACTCGGGGACGGGCGCTATGGCAGCGGTCACAGTCGGAGACATTTCAAAGGAGGCAATTGGTGACTTTTGGAGACAGAAAGATTATATATCATCTCGAAGTCACCGAAAGGGCCTTAACTATGCATTGAGCGTTATATTAATAATTTTATTGTTGAGAAGGTCGATGAAAAGCTTCAGCTCCAGGCAAAAATGTACAGGTCACAGTGTTAACGTGATAACCTGCATATCGTCACCATCATTGTTTGGTCCTACAGTATGTACATCAATCATTCAGCACAACATTGTTAACATTTGATATCTCGGTTATTTACAGATACGTTAATGAAGATAAGTGACGATGTACAACGCAGCAAGAAGCTAATGTTAGCCTAACGTTACGTTAGAGATTTTAAAGATAACGTTCAAATACGTTGTTGACTTAACTTAGAACAGATGTAGACAAGTTTAGTTGGTGTTGTGGTCGACTGCATAACTTAACCCAGAGCAGACACTTATCTCGGTTGAGAGATGTGGATTGGGAAAGGGTAAAAAACACACACCGTCGCCCAGCCTCTCGGAAACCTAGTGTCGGAGCTGCATGAACCCCATACACACCGTTTGACCATTTTAATCTTAAAATGCCAAGAAAAAACCAATGAAAACTGACTAACTGCAATGCATTTCAATGGACGTGGAAGCAGAGGATGTACAAGTGTATTGGGTTAGCTGCGCTCTGTGATTGGCTCATCGCGTTTGAGGTCAATTGGGATGACTTTATAAATACAAGTAAATGCAATTAAAAATAATAGTAGTAATAAATACTACAAAAAATTAAAATAAAATAACACCACAACAGTAAAAAAATAATAAAAATATACAATAAAATGGAATTTGATAATGGGACGCTATATAATATAAATGTCAGTATAATAAACGAATCAATTAAATATTAAATAAATCAATCAATCTCAGCTGTCGTGTGCCGAATCCCGACCTCAAAAAAATAATACATAAACTTGTGGTCGGTTTAAAAAAAAAAAACTTTTCATCCAGTGACATGGTTTGCAAGTATTCCCAATAATATACATAAAGAATTTTACATGCTATAAGCAAAGCCAGCCAGCAAACGTGGCATAATCTTTACATTAGAAAAAAAAATCAATATATTATTTACTATAAATAAAAATAAATAATAACATGATCCATATGCACACACAAACACATACCTATTCGCAATCACAATACAAATAAACACAGATGTGAAAACGGTCTGTGATACACCGGTCTTCACATTTATTTTACTGCGTGTTCTTCTGTGTTCTCATCAGCAGCCTGTGGGGTGACTAACGATGAGCAGAAGTTCAGGAATGAACACACACGCTCACGTTACATACATACAAACACACACACACTGGACACAACAGCTGGCAGGAGGAAGAGGCACTCCATTGTGAAACATCTCATTAAATCAAATGAGTCAAGTTTCTCCTCTTCAAACAGAAATCATGCTGGGCTAATGACTGGATTCAGAATTCCTGATTCAGAATGATTCACAGTGTTATCAAATGTGTCATCCTGGCCCCAAACTAACGGCACAGATTACGCTGCAGTCGCGATCGAGCGCACGCCACGCTAGCATGAACACAGGACTGAGCCTCTCTCTTATTAACTGAACTCAAAAACAACACCGGCCCGCGGAGGAATCTAAATCTGTCCGGCGTAAACCGATCTGCCGAGATGCTCCCGGTTCTTCATGTGACTGCTAAATTAACCGTAACGCAAGAGAGATGATTCAGCGAGTCAGAAACAAACTAAACCTGTGAATGAGATGACAAGGACTTCAAGAGAAACGAGCGAGATTCAGCACTTAGACAGCTCTGATTAGTGGACAGGAATATGAAACATTGATTTAGAAATTGATAAGCAACACACCTGCTGATATCTCTATGCATTTCACATGACACCAAGCTTCATGCTTTTATGACAAAAAACTATTCTACAGCAAATGTAATCAAGAAATGATGCAAGTGTACAAAAATCAATACTTTCATATAAATATAAATTTAAAAAAATTAATTATTAAAAAAATAAACGTTAAAAAAATTTCTATTTCAAATAAATGCAGTTATGAACAAAATCAGCATGTGACATTAAAGACTGGAATAATCAACGTGATCTCATGAGAATACGTATGTATGTGTACGTAAAGTGTCGTTCTATCATACGTATATATAATTACGTTTTATATGCGCAGAAACGTATAATACTGACGTATTTACAGTACTAAAACGTAAAATATTTACGTATTGATAGCACAAAAACGTAATTTATTTACGTATGAACAAATCCACCGACGTACACATTGTACGTATCACAATTTATGCATATTAATATCGTAGCATTATGTTTTGACTCTATTGCATCCCACTGTCTTATTAATGAAGTTTTCAGTCGCATTATTGATATAATACTCATAAATATTAACATTTTGCTCGTTTCGCCTGCATGTGTTAAACAATAGACTATAAAACCTTAAAAAATACATTCTTTAACGTTACTCGTTCAACCATTTTGTAATAGTTTATTTACCTTGAGACACATAAAGCGTTTTCTCCTATAAAACACAACAAAAATTCACAAAAGACATCAATTTTAATAGTTTGATGTAATCCAAATCTTTAGAATCCATAGTTGTTTGCAAGAAACAACTCCTAATTCAGCGATTTATCCAGTCGTGACTCGTGATCTCCATTCTCAGCAGCGACCGTAACGTTACAAGTCAAACCCCGCGCTGGTGATGAATTCAAATTCAAATATTGCGCCCATACGTCATCTTTTACGGCAGCGATATCAAACGTTCATTGGCTCTTCCCTGCTTCGTCACAGTTTGCGACATGAAGGACTGTAGACGGTTGGTTAGTTTAGTTCATTACTTCATTTGAATTTTGAAATGGAGAAGCGCGAACCAACCGAAGCCGGATTAACATTTTCATTAGTAATTTAATTTCTGCTCTGTACTTCATACAAAACTATTACAATACTGCCAGAGAGAAGACTGCGACTGCAACGCTTCATCATGTGAACGGCTTTTGGTATCGGTTTTGACATTTTCGCAATAAATAAATTATTGTGATTATACTTGTCTGTTAGTTATGTTTTTCTTCATAATTGTAGTTTTTTACGTAGTTTTAAGGAATTGTTATGGTAGGTTTAGGGGTAGGAGTAGGTGGCTCAAAATATATTTTAATGCTATATTGTTAATAAAACTGCCCTTTCCCAACACCTGTCTGTTACGTTTTATCCTTTTTTATATTAAGTATAAAATGGGTATGTTTAGGTTTGGGATTAGGGTTACGGGATCTTACATTTATCTATAAAATAGTAAAAAGGGAAATTATCCAGATATCTTTATGATATAGAATATACGTAAATAGTTTACGTTTTGTAGCTGTAAAAACGTAATAATGTTACGTTTAAATGTTGCAGATACGTCTATATTATACGTTTCAGCATCTATGCAAACGTACTAAAAAGTACGTTTTCTATCTTTGCAAAAACGTAAAATAGCTACGTATTAACAATGAGACCAGGCTGGAATAATGGCTGATTGTCATCACAGGAATAAATAAAATTATTATTATACAGTATTTAAAGTTTTAAAAGCGCTTTAAGAGGAATAAATATTTTACTATTAAATTTTATAAATAATAATTATTAAATATTATTAAATTATAAATATTAATATTTTAATATGAGTGTTTTTACAAACAAAGTATAAAATATAAAATATTTTAAACATTTAATTTAATTTAAAATTGAACCCCAGACAGTAATGTATATTAATGGAAAACATTACCTTCACATAAACAATAAACAAAGAAATGGATGAATTTTCAAAGTCTAAATTTGGCAAATATTACCCTTAAGATGTATAAGAACAACAAGGAATGCAATCCAGAGTAGTTAAACAAATGATGCAATTTTATGATGTGAGATCCTGACGTACTATATACTTAAAAAGCACGTACTGTCCTATTATAAGGAAATTATTTACTTTGACAGATAAAAGTCAAGTATGTGAATTGGGATGCAGCCAATATGAACAACACAACAGGCCTGGAAAGTGGAAACAGAGGTGGATGTTTGTTTGTTTACTGAGGCTTCTGGGAGGCTGGACACACTCCTTCAGTTCTCCCTTACACACACACACACACACAAACACACAGGCCAGGGGCAAAAGCTTACAGACACTCGCTGCAAACCTCACAACCACCTGCCCCAGCAGACACTGATCATCTCTGAGCCACAGCGAGAGGAAAACAATATACAGTGAATCAATCTATGAATGAACAGCCCAAACGAACTGATTCGCTAAAATGAATCAAGACTCCTCAATGCTCCCACAGCCTGAGGCCCTTAAAAGACCGGCAAACACACTATTGATGTTCAATGGAGCATCTAAAACAGGCACAGCCC